TAATAAAAAAAAAATAAATTAAGAAGGAAAAATAAGTAATAATTTATGTCAATATATATAATAATAAAACAGATATGTAATTTAATTTCACGTATTAATATTATAAATATGTGGTACCATATTATTCGCATATCAAGAAATATAACAGAATCAGAAAAAAAGAATTAGTAGTAAAAAAAAAGCATCATATACGATTAACATTTGGAGGTACAATTAAATTTAATATTATTTAATAAAATATAATAATACACATATATAGAAATTATAATTTCAAAAAAAATATCATATTAAATTATTACTTTACAATATATATTGCATTGTAAGCATATGTAGGACATTATTAATAAATGTAAAATGTATATTTCTTGTCTTAAGAATATATTTTGCATGATGGCTACTGTTTATTGAGCATGAAAAAGGCGAAATTTATTTACAGTATTTTTATTTATTATTTATGTGTTTTTCAAATAAATTTATTATATTTTTTTTAATTTTTATAATGGTATCTTATTAATTTTTCTAATTAAGTTTTATTTTTTTATATTATAAGAATTTTTTTCATTTTTGTATGATATTATTAATATATGCATCATCTATATTATTTGCGTACAATGCAATATGTGACTTTTAAGCAAAATATATTCATGGAACTACAAAATTATTCGTGAAATTAATCAGAATTATATAATATATTATAATTCTTATTTCTTGAATTACTACTGAACTTTTGAGATGGCTGTAACATATTGGACTCTTTATATAAATTATTACTAATGTTTCTTTTTCTTATGATTATGTTACGCAAAAATGATCCCCAAATCGTGAACTATTATGTATTAGAAAATATTTATGCATTCGAAAATAAATTGCTTGTGATAGAATATAAATTTTATTAAAATTTTCAATATTATTTATTTAATAGTATATGAACATCTATATTATATTATAAAAAACCTTATAAAATATAAATATAAAAAGCGTTATCACTAATGCTACAACAATTGGAACATAAATGTGTGCTTTTTTATTGTATCTCTGGAATAAAGACAAATAACTTGGTGTATTATTTTCACAAGTTATATTTTTTATTTGTAAATTATATTCTGTTGTAAGTTTATTTAATTCAGTACAAAAATGTTTATCATCATTGGATTTGCACATATTTTCATATTTTTTATGGACCTCAGCGAACTTTTTGGCACACACACATTTATCGCTAATGTTAGATACATTATTAGTTTTTATTTTATTTAGCTCAGTGTTCATATCATATATATCTCTGAGTTTTTTCAATACATCTTCTGTAAGATTTTCTTTAAAATAATGGCATATAGACACGGTGTAATTATTATATGCCTGCAGAAATCCATGGTAGTGCTTTTTTATATTATCATATTCTTTTTTATCTTTATAGTATTTATCATATGTCCAATAAAACAATGATATACAATCTTCATCCTTAACCTTTTCAGTAGCTGTTTCTCTTTGTTCATATAAACAGTCAATAATCATTGGACAAGTTTCAACAAAATCCTGTATTCCAATATTATTCAGTTCATCGTTTATACAGTAAGCTTTTGAAATATTTTCATAAGTATTCCCAATACATGTATCATAATATTTCTTCTTTTTATCAAATAAATCAACATATATGTACTATAAGGAAATAAAGGAAACAAGGAATATTAGTGCGTGTATTCAATTATTCATTAATGGTATATATAAGTATAGAAAAAATAAAAATTTAGTCCCGAAATATTTATAATTATCATATATAATGATTATTAAATACTATTCTATCGTTTTCTCCAGAAGAAGACATATTTATGGTGTGAGATATTAAAAATATCATTAATTATCATTGAAAATAAATACAAAATATATAAGTAATACGAGGTTTCATAAGACACTACGAATATTTGTTATAATAAAAATCTAATTATAATAAATATTTCTATCATTTTTTATGTTCTTAGCATATATATGGGGAAAATATTTAGTAAAGCTCCGAAAAATTGAATTAAGAAGTATGCCTATAAAAACATAAGCAAAATATTTATATATATTACCTTAATAATATTATACATTAAAATACTATTTTACAAAGTTAATATATATATTTTGTTTTATAATTATATGTGTCTTAATTTTTATTTTGCATAATCGTATTACTCATGTATACATCCTAACATCATTTAAAATATGGCATATGTACAAATATTTATTATTGCGAAAGATATTAAATTGTTTATACATATACTCATTTTATTTTACAGTAAATTATAAATATTTTTACATCGTATCTTTTGATAAAATGCTACATTTATACTGTATATGTTTTATCTGAGCAAATATTTTAGTGATTTATTGATCATATAAGGAACATATATGTTATATTGTGTTACAATAAATCTTATTTTTGAATAAATGTAATTTTTGTATCATAAATATTATTTTTTAATTATTTCATTAATTTTATAAAAATAAGAATGCAATATGTTCGCTATATATAGACACTTTTTTCAAACATAATGTATAAATTTTCTTTATATCAATTCTTAGTTGCTATTATATGCGATGAAGTAGAAAATATATAAAATAATCATTAAGTAACTTGATATTAATTAAATATATTAAATATTATATCTCATGTTTGAGCACAAGTGCACAAAAGACATATAAAGTATGTCATAACAAGAAAAATAACATGATATAACGTGTATCACGTATTAAATGAACATTGAAAAATATAATGTTATAATATATTGAAATTTACTTGCTTTAGATTTATTTCATTTATAAATTATTTATTGAAAATATTATATTAATTGGATTAAAACGGGAAAATAATACATAAAAAATGTATTTATATTCTTAATAATGTTTGAACACATAATAATATATTATTATGTTAAGTGTATAAACAATGCGGAACTGTTATTTAATATTCATAAATTATTGTATTTATTGAAATAATTTATTTTATTTAAAAAATAGTTAATATTATGCTTTTTAAATTAATGCTATTAAAAAATATTTATTTCTTACATTCCCCTTTCTACTGCTATAAATTAAATAGATCAGGAAAAAGCATATAAAAATAAATTTAAATCATCTTATATTTATTTTTTCAAAAGTGAATATAATTAAGAACATAAATAAATCTTTATAAACTTCATTTAAATTATAATATTTGTTGTAAATTACTAAATATGATTAGTTCTTTTTATATATATATCTTAGAGAACAATATAAAATCATTTTTTAAATATATATAGGATTTAGTGTTTATGTTTAAAGGTTTGGAAGCGTTAAATTTTGTTATAAATTTTTTATATATTAACAAAATTGATTATTCCAATGAAATCACTATTAATTTTGCAGAGTGATAAATTTTTATTTTAAAAATTATTTATCATTATTAGGTACCTACAGAGATGGAATAGGTGAAATTTTCAGGAACTCTGAAATTAGTATGCGTTACAGCACTGTAAAAAAAAATTTGTTAAACGGATGGAAAAAACATAAATACTATAGGATAAACTATATCGAGTTTAGTGCATGTGAGAATTTACAATAAATCTAATGTATGGAAATAACAAATAGAAATATATTAGGATAAAATATATACTTGTTGAAATAAAATAACCCTATTATTTACTTCATTTTATTTTTATAAGTTAATATCTAATACTTATGAATATATAAAGAATGTAAATATATAAAGAATGATTATGGTTTATGAATAATAACTATACAATAGAGTAATATTTGTTACGTAATAATTTATTTTTATTCTATTATAT